TCCCTCTGGATGGCATCCCTTCCCTCAATTGAAACACATTTAAGTTGCAAGCTACCCTGAAAAAGCAATCTTTCAAAGTGCTTGATAATTCTCAGGAACTATTGGCATAACGACAAGGGAAAACTGACAGAAGTTTCACACAGATTCAGTATGAAAATCATGCTAAGGTGGTCAGAAATAAGATACTTTCATCTTCTTTGACAATTTTTGGTTAAATAAATGTTGAACCTTTGCCATGCCTTTTATGTCTTCCTTAAATAATGACTTAAACCAGATTCTCCTCCCAATCCCTCCCAACATGTTTAGTATATAACACAAATTTGGCCTGTGGAGTCAACAAATACAAGAACATGCAAGAGGAATTTCAAAACTTGAATTGCTACATGACAGTAGTTAAAACAGGCTAAAAAGTGGACATTTTTGCTGATTGGTAAAATCCTATGCAGAAAGATGGTTACAAATATGTAATAAATGTTCACTCTTTCTTTACTGGCTGCAGTTTCTGTACCTACCTACTATCCCCTGACAATAAGAAAGGCTTGAATCTGAAAGCTGCTTACAACTTTCCGACTAGAAGATAATTTATCAGTAGAATAGAATGTAGACATACAGGGTAACAGTAAGCTCCCTGGATTTAGTTGCTGCAGAAACATCCACCAGATACAGAAGTCTACATTCTAGTAAAAAGAAATCTCATCTACATAGAATACATACTCTAACCAGAGAGTATCTATCAACTAAACTTAATCTGTCTTCGTAACTTACAAGAATGATTCTCCTAGCCTATTAAAAATTTATAGTGTCTGTAAAAAATAGCATTTAGAAATATATTCTATACAAACAGCAGCTCTGTTGATGCCAGTGGGCATTTCAATTAGTCTTGAACATTGTATTAAACTATAAACACAATGCACTCTTCATTCCCTCCTATTTTAAGTGCTCAAATATATTCTAGCACTTGACCTACAGATAACTTTAAAATGTTTAAATGTAGGAAAACAAGGCATTTAGGAAGCCCTCTTTAGAGCTATACAGGAGAGGCTTTTTTTGTGAGACAGGTATGTGAAAAGACTACCATGCTTCTCCACATTAAGTTCATGGCTTAACAATGGCATTATTCTGGACTGCTAAAATGACTCGACGAGTACTGAGCAGATACTTCAAAGTTACAGCTTTCTAATTAATGAAGAAGGCCTGCAAAATCCTTTACTAGGGAGTATAAGGGGTTTTGCAGTGTTACAAGCCACCTACTGCTCTCCTTCCTTATCCTCAAGTATATTGAGCTGTGTAGCTTGCCTACAACTTGAAAATGAAAACCTTATATGAGTAATGCTCTCATGAGGATTCCCATTTTTCACATTTTGAGTCAAGCTAGAAATAACAAGCATAGGTGTTTGCAGCTTCTTCTGACCAACATCCTGCTCATAAACATCTTTATGTATATGCTTGAGGAAAATAAATGAAATCAGACCTTGTCTGTTAAGACCTCTCTTCCTCTCATTAAAAGGGGGAAGCTGCCTATTTTCTCCACTGATAGCAGTGATTCTTTGAGCAGTACATGTTTTTTCAAGTGTTAATTTGGTGTCAATTTGCCTGCACTGTCTTGGGACTTCAGAGAAAAAGCTTAAAATACGACTGACAGAACAGCCAGAGATGCTGTACACTGCCTTCATGAAAACCCAAATAAATGCATACATGACAATGCATGCTTCAAACTCAATTTTTCTATTTCCCTGACTGAAAATTAGCTTCAAATTCAATTTTCCAGCAAGGTAATAAAGGGCCCAACCTGCAGCAGATAGTCTACTATTTGCAATGAGAAGAGAGCACCTCTTTGAAGAGTATTTGGCAGTTTTTCAAACGCAAACTATTTCTAGTTATACCAATTCTTAAAGAATTTGTTAGGGGCATAAGGGATAGCATTTAAAACTGATCAGTACCTTAGTCTATGTAATATCGCGGTAGAGGAAAAAATACTGTCAAACTGAGTAGCTGTTTGATTAATTAACATTAAATACTTACTAGACAGAATTGTTTTATGATTGAAAGTCTTGCTCCAAATACTATCTTCTAGATTGTCTTTAACTCCAAATTCATAAAGCGTGTTTGGCTTCAGATTGTCCACCACTGTCTCTGTAACTGGGCAAAGCTGAAAAACCCATTTCTTGTCTTTTCCCTTTTCTCTGTAGCGAACTGTATAGAACCTGCTTGACAGAAGAAAAAGAAAAAATAATATTTTTGCACAAAGAAACTCACTATAAACATTTCTGTCAGGAATTACTAAAACAGTTTCTACCCACCGTTGTTCTTGTTCTTTCTAGCCTCTTAAGGTTTTCAAATATCAGAAAAGCCAGCATGCCTTCCCTGCAAATGCAGCGCTAGCCCAGTCACCTTCTAGATATACGTATGTTCCCCATGATACAGGCCCTGACAATATGATTATTATACAAAGAGTAAAAGAACAGTTTCCTTATTCACAACCAACCATGTGTGTGAGGTTCTGACCACAAACTGCAAGCTCATTTTGCAAGCAGTTCCTGTGATTCTGACTTATGGCAGAACTAGTTAACCAAATCATGAGTCAAGTTAAGGACAATCGGGAAGCCTCAACCAAGTTCTCAAAATCTTCTATACCCATCCAAGGGAAAGCGTTCCCCACAAACTTAGTCCCCAGAGTTCCCCACAAAATTAGTCCAAAAATATACTAAAGGGAAAGCTAGTAATAGTTGGCATTTATGTAATATATTCGTTACTCTGTGATCCTATTATGTATTGGCCACACTTCAAACAAGAAAGTAAACCACGACATTATTTTCAGCAGTTTAAATCAGTAACATGATGAATTGCTAGCAGATTATGAAAATAAAAAATATTTCTGCAGAAATTGCCCAACCCAATCAAGCAGCACCTCCCTGAAAAAGTATGACTGCAATGCTAACCAGTATGAAACAATACAATGTAAATGGTGAGAGTTATGGCACAAGAGCTCCATTGCCTGCTACAGTCTCATTTTCATTTTATGTCCTGAATCACTGCCAAAATGGGGTGGAGAGTTCTGGTTTTGTTTAAAAATAAAACAAACAAAAAAAACCCAAACAAAACAAAACAAAATGAAAAAAAAAAAACAATCTCAGAGAGATTTGGCAATTTTAATCCAGATATTACTGAAAATTTTTTACACATAACTTTAATAAAGCATATCCATTGCCCATATTCATCTTACATTTACATCAGCTAAAAAAAGGATGAATTCCACCCAATTGCATTTTCCACACTTCAATAGAGCAAATTAAGGCCATAAATCAAACACAACTCTAAAACAGCATATACATGCCCAATAATCATTCAGAAGCAAATAGAAGAAATTTGGGTTGTGAGATTTAAGCCAGGTATTATATAGGAAAATACATGGAGAGAAAGGGAGGCTTTTTAAGAGAACAACAAAAATGTTCTGTAATCTACTGAAAAGGTATGAAAGGTCCAGACTAAAATGCCTTAATGGACCAAACATAATACTGTCAATGCATAAAGCTGCTTTTGCCAAAGTTACAGAAACTTACTTCTGGAGCAGAGCATATGTGAAAAATGACTGTTGAGTACACAGAAATTCCTAGTTCATTATTAAAACACAACCTAAGACAAGTGCTGATCATGGAAATATTTTCATACACAAAGATCCATTTTGTTTACATATTTTATCTCATAATTGTTAAATTTGTTTTCTTGGCACCAAAAACACAGGTTCTCCTGGTTTAGTTGCTACAATTCAGCTCATGCAGGTATTTTACCAGGTTATAAAATTAATATTTATGTTGGCTCACATAACTCTTTTCATCAGCTGTACTACTTTGCATTCAAAACCTGCCACAGTCTAACCCAAAATTTGAAAAGAAATATGCAAGTAGTGAATATCCTCTCTCACCTTATCGATTCCTCAGCTACCAAGTAGTAATCTGCATTCTTATTTTTGTGGGCTGTGATCTACTCACATTTCAGATGTCGATCTATCAGTTGGACTGACAAAGAATCTTTAACAAGAAATTATTAGTAGCATCAAAATGAGGAAAATTTCTTCTCCTTTAACCTCTTAGTCTGATCACACATAGTCACATGGACATCAACAGACAAGAAAAACTTACTTGAAATCTCTGTCACTATCTTGAAAAGATAATAAACTAATAAGCAAATCCATCTGCAACATAAATGCATTTTGCTGGACTCCGTACAGTCTCTTGGTAAGGGGTTTAGAATAGGTAGATAGATCTGTGATCAAAATGTGAATCACAAGTAGAACTATCCTCCTTCCTAGCTTGCCTGGAAGAGGAAATTTTATTTGTTTTCATTTTCATCCTTAGATTTTCCTACCTGCTTTAGTTGAATGGGGTAGAAATAAAGTGATTGTATGCGATGGAAAGAAAACAGTGTATTGATCCATTTTGGTTATTGAACAATCTAAATGAATAGCTGCACCAGAAATGATGAGGAAAAAAACCTCACCAAAAACTTGTCCATAATGAACAGGTTTTTAAGTGGCTGCTCCCACTTGCTTCTACTGTTGAAAATGTTCTATTTCACTGTCTCAACACCTGCAACTTCCTTCTCCCTGTTTTTTGTTGTTTGAATGAATTAAATGACTGAATTTAATTAAGGAATTACAATACTGAGAACACTTGTATGTCAAAAAGTAACTTTCATTACAACTCAGACTATTAAAAAATCTGACAAGATGTGCCAAACTATGCCATTTGAAATAGAAACAGAGCGTAGAAGAAATGTGCTCTCAACTCCAAGATTTCCAAGCCCATAAAAACTTCACCAAGGGTGTAATTATTTCAATGGAAGCTTGCCACGAGTACTAAAAACACTGACTGCGGTGACAGAATTTCCTCAACCATTTCAATAAAAGCAACCAAAATGAAGTTCCATTTAACAACTTCAATTTGCAATAGTTTGAGTACTAATAATATCCAAATTGCAAACAACATGCACTTTTGGGGAAATGCGGTCATTTGTTTATAGAGTAGGAGTTCAGAAATGCCAAGTTTTGTCATCAAAGAATAACAATTCATCGTTAAACCTGACCAACAAGCTGCCAAATAAAGCTCAATTTCAGTGCCTCAGAACATTCTAATGATTATATTCTGTTGTTATTTTAATGTCTTTATTTTTCAAACCTTCCTTTTAGAAAAAAATACAGTATCAACCAATCAATACATAAAATTGAAAACATGAGAACGTAAAATTCAGTCACTGCCTGCATATTGCTGCTAAGAGAAGCAAAATTCTACGATGGATAAGCAAATCAAAGTTTTCATGACACTGCCTTGATAAGAATTCCACTATAATTTTTCCAACTTAACCAAATCTCTTCTTAGCCAGATTCCCAGAAAATGCTTGTCCAGGCAAATATTTGTCCACAAACAATTAGATACAAGAAATCTTATAAGGCGGATGGTTTTACGAGATTTCCAGATTAGGTCAGTTTGTGTAAATATCATGGGTTTATTTGGAACCATACCTAAACCAAAACTCCAAACAATTTAATCATGACTATTTTAGTCACATATAACACTAAACAAACAATTAAGCCCTGGAGATATAAGAACATTCCTGTTCTGTGATTTTGTGTTGCCATAGATAAAAGATTATAAAGCTTATTTCACATTAGTGCATAAGAATGTAATCAGACATACACATGTACATACTTATTTGTTTATAGTTAGACTTCATTATAAGCACAGCACCCATTTAGTGTTAGAAAGTACTAAAAGAAATTGTTCCAACTATGATTCTTCAGATACTGAGTGTTTCGCAAATTGGCACATGAAATTGATTATACCATTTCCTTTTTATTGCCAAGCTTACTTCAAAGTAACATGTACAAAAAGATGGAAAGAATTACATCACTGATGGCTACCAGTTAAGTTTGTAAAGCACTAGTTTAGTTTTCACTTTTACATGATGACTAACATTAACTTTTTTCACTTATACTTTTTAGTAGAACAAATGAAATGAAGAGTTAGAGGTTCTGAACAATGAGATGCTGGCCACCAACAAATCTTTCCATGTTTAAACAAGCTTTTAGCATATACTCCCACAGCAGTAACTCAAAAGCATCTGAAACTCAAGAAGTTATTTACTGTAGCAGGTTTTCCTTAAGGAATTCTGCTAAGTTTAAAATACCTTTTCTATGACATTTGCAACAGATAGTGTGATTAATTTGGCAGCTGCATAGCGACACAGATTTGCAGGCAGGCACAAAAGGAGACGCATGTACATATCTTTCTGAATTTAGGGTTTAAAAAACCCCCTACTTGTGTGCTGTGCAACATAAAGAGTAAATATGGGTTCTTCTCTTTTTCCCCCCTCTATTTTTCTTACATGTTTTATTTTTCAAGCCTCAGACACAAAATAAGTAAAACACAAAATCTGTACTACTTGCAAATATTAGGACATTAGGACATTTAAATCATGGGCAAACAAATTTATACAATACAAATGCAAATTTGTCAAAGTTCTTAACTGAGACATATTTCATAAAAGAACATACCTTCTGGTTTTAAATTTCTATTTCATATTTATCTGAAAGCATGTTTTTTCTTCTACACAATACACATACAGGAAAATAGAGTATTCTACCAACAAACCCTGGTTTTGTCTTGCATGGAAAAAATATCTTCTGTTCCTTCCCTCAACTCTCCCTCCTAAAAAGCTGAATGTCTGCTTCTTTGACACCCTGCTCTGCTTTGGGATCTGTAGAGTTACTCTAACCTAAGCAAAGGCCCCCCAAAAGTCTATGCAACAGTCTGTACTCTCTTTTTCAGACCTAAATGGACAGTAAACAGCCACAGTATGTTTATTATGAAAGCTCTGTCCACTACTGGCAGTTTGAACACTGAAAGGCAGAGAGGAAAGAAGTTTCTCTACTGCCTCAGAAATATAAAAAAGAAGAATGTGACTGTGCAGCAGTTTATCAAGACTTTGCATCCTCCCTCATCAACTACCTCACATTGGCATCAGAAAACAGATGTGGAAAAAGCTAACTCCACACTGGTGGAGCCCTTCTGGTGTTACATAATTTTCATCAGCTACATAAAGCTAATTGCTTGAGGTTTTTTGTTGGTCTGTTTGTTTTATTTTTTTCTGTGTTCTAGTGCTAAGGCTCCGACCAGGGATTATAACCACTTCAAGGAGGCTTTAAAACTTCAAACAAATAGCAGTGATTATCTTTTGCTTCCACAAAGAATTATGGTTTAGGATTATCTTGCAGCAAGTATGTAGCACTCTATTGGCTTATGCTCTTAATCTCTGGACAGTTAAACAACCAAAGAATGGTTTGTCAGAAAATGCGATGGGAACTTTTTCTTCACTGGAGTTTCCTGTATAGTACTTCATAGGTACAAAATAACACTGTGCCCTCAATAAGTAAGCAATAATTTGACTGAAGCAATAAAAGATATCATTGCTTTCTGAGAACATGGCACCTTTTATTCAAAACTCATTTCCTCACAAAACCAGTCTTCTAAGGAATAGCCCGTGGAGGTCAGACTCTCACTAGAGAAAATCTTGGCCAACATATCCATGCTGTTCCATATGGTTTTAATCTTCTGAGTCAGTAACATATTCAACTAACTTACATTATACAAGATTTGTACAAAAGCCTAGTATCATCTGGAGATGGGAGAATCTGAGGCTGAGAACAGTGACTCATTTCAGGTCCTGCAGAGTTACATATCTAAAACTTGGTGGGATATTAACTGAACTGAGTTATACGTGCACATAGTGCCAATGTCAAAGATTACAGGTCATGGCTATACTACAGTCTTGAGGATGATTAACAGTACATTTCAGCATGTCACAGTAAGGAGAACATGCCAGATGAAAAGAGGACCAAGTGGACTGCCCCTGCAATAAATACAAATGTTGATGAATCTGTTATCTGACTTTAAGTCTTGTACTTTTTTACCATAATCTACATTTTACATCCAGTTTAACTGTATTAATGGGAGTTTTATTATAGACATCAAAGTAAGCAGATTCATGTCTAAATGAGACAGATTCAAATTAGAAAAAAATAATTAGAAAGATGGAAAAAAAAAGTGTTCTTGATAATGCAAAGATGCATTAGAAAAACAAAAAATGATAGTTGCAAACCAGATGCAGATGCATCCTGAACATGGGTGCACAAAGTTTCTTCTTGGTTTTACAAAACACTGAATTGAATGGAGCTTCACGTAATATAAATGAAGGCCAAAAAAATCTCTTCTATCATAAAAGGAAGAATACAAAGAGAACACCAAAATGACAGAGCCAGGAAACCATCTGTATTAACAATTTCAATAATGGCAGCAGATGAATTTTACTCATCTGCCAAGAATTGCCTAAAAAAGTAACGGTGTAATGGCTGAGAAGCTACCCAGCACTATGACTTCTCTTGAAACTGCTACTTGGTGAGTCTTCCTGAGCTTCCCACCTATTGTACCACTCATTAAATAAATTACAGCAACACAAAAAATATTATAGTAGAAGAGATCTTCTTTTACTTAAAACAGAAAATTAATGAAAGCTGTACTGTATCAGCACCAGGAAAGCAGTGTAATGATAAGACCAACTACAGGAAGCAAAAGCCAAATAGCATTAAAACAAGGCACAGTACAACAAAAGACTTACTTTACTTCTATTTGGCCAACTTTAAACTCATATATTTCCTATGATATAACAAAGTTTCTTTCAATTGAGTCACACACAAACAACAGTAGAGCCAAGGCTATTGGTTTCAGAAGAACAAAGGATCTAATGTGAAATAGCAAGGTTTGTACTTCAACATGTAGACATCTAACTAAATTTGCACTCAAGACAAGAAAAAGCTTGTGAAACTAATTTAAGTCAAAGAGAAAATTTACTTCATGTTCAGAATATTGCTTTCAACTTTTTAATTTCCAAGGTCAAACTTATTTCAGCTACACAATATAACTACACTGATATAAATCATGATCATAATAAAAGAAGGTTTTCAGTTATGTTACCTGTCACTATCACAGTTACTTGTTGCTGTCCAGTCATGCTGAGGGTTGACTAGGATGCCCCAGGAGAGAAACACAGAGGTTGGGGTAAGAGTGCCAACTACCAGCTGCAGAGGCTTTTGATTCTTGGTCCGACCTACATAAGAAACATATAGTTCCAACTAAAAGTTAGTTTCTTTCTCCTGCATTATGTAGGGGAAAGTTTTTGCAGTATGTTTAGTAAAAGAATTAGCTATATGCAGATTAAGTTCAAAGCTCTGGCTGTCTTGGACTGCATCACAGAAAGCATTGCACAGAGTTTAGGACATCAGGAAGTCTTTCTCTGAATGTGACAGAAATAGTAACTTCTTGGCAGAATTCTTAGTAGCACTGAAATTACATCCACAGATAAGGCATGCTTTTTACAGCATTCTTCATCAAGGGTAAAATAGAATCTACAAAAATTCTTTTCCTTTTAAGTCTAGGCAGATCTGAGTTGGTGTCTGGATTTTTTTCTTTTAGCCACCTACTACACTAAAAATGTCCAGCTTTTGCGTGATACTTAACTTCAGCTTTGCTCTGTATGAAGTAGCACAACTCTCATGTGGAGAAAGAACTTTTTTTAAATGAAGTTTAAAAGCTAACATTTGGAAAAGAAGAAATGATCTAGAACAACTATTTTGAACCTGTAGTTTGTGGACTGCTACAAGCTCAAGGAGAACCTTTGATGGTTGGAAGATGATTAATTAAAGGAAGTTCCTATATTCTTCACATCATATTACATACCTCAAAAATCTAAAGGATCTGTATCATCTCAAAATGTACAGGTGACCACAAATTCCCTAAAAGTTTATAAGCCACTGATGCAAGGGTTGTATTTTTCACTGTTGCAAAACAGATCTGACTTTCTTTTCATGCCTTTTGAACCCTAGTAGCTTTTCATTTAACAAGCCCCAGTGAAAGTACTTTCAACCAATGAATGAGCATGCATTTAGAAATGTTAACCATGGGGGTTTTTACTTTATATTGATGATGAGTATGTTGACACAAAACTCCTCCGAACAAAACTAAAAAAAGCACTCTACCCTTTCAAATACTGTGGCACATACGATACTTCCACAAGGGCAAGTGCCCGAAGAATTTTCTTGTTTTTCTAGACTAGTTCCTAATACTGCTTCTCCATTTTTAAAGAAAAACTAAAACCAAACAGCTTGGCCATTCAGCAAAATGCCTGGCAAATCTGCTATCTATAGCAAAATCCCTTTCTTGATCACTTTTTTAGGAAACGTGGAAAACGTGAGTTTTAAGGAAAGTAAAAACCAAGCTCTCATATAACTTGAAATCACACTGGCTTTTGGGAGGACCTACATATGATTTTGATTAATTCTTATTAAGCCATTAATTCCCAGTTAGAGAGTGCAAAGATTTATACACTGTAAAACCAGGAATTATCTTGGTGATCATCTATGTTGATCTGTATGAATACAAAACATACAATTCCTCTGTATTAATCACAGTATGAACTGGAATGTCTCCTCCAAAAACATAACCAGTTTTCAAATGTAAATTTAAAATTGCAGCAACCCAGAATCTACCACAATTCTTGGTGATTTTTCCAGTTTAACTATTCTCACAAATAAAAAGACCTGCTGTATATCTAGCTAGCATTAAAACAACAGCTCTTACTGCATCTTTATCTGCTGGACTGAAAAGTCAATAATCCGAATCCTGTTCCACAAATCAGTTACTGTAGACTAAGGATACGAAAATTAATAACATCCAAATACTGTATCGGGCTTTTTTTTAATTATTATTATTTTGGGGGGTGGCAGGTATTGTTTTGTTTTGTGTTGGGCTGCCTTTGTGTGTGTGGTTCTGGTTTTTGAAGATCTATCTATCTATCTGTATCTGTTGCATCTGAAAGCTAATTGACCTTTCAAAATCTTTCCAGACATTCTGGTTTACACCTGGCCGAGACCAAGAAATTAATTCTGAGCAGCTACTGGGAATTAGAACAAGGTCATCTAGTCCAACCCCTGTGCAATGAGCAGGGACACCTTCAACTAGATCAGGTTGCTCAGAGCCCTATCCAACCTGGCCTTGAATGTTTCCAGTGCTGGGGCATCTAGAACCTCTCTGGGCAGCCTCTGCCAGTGTTTCACCACCCTCATCGTAAAAAAAAATTCTTCTTTATATCTAGCTTGAATTTTTAGTTTAAAACCATTACACCTTGTCCTATTGCAACAGGCCCTGTCAAAAAGTTTGTCTCAAACTATAAACATATACATATATCAGTTTATTCTTTGCAACAGTCCAGTGATCCTGACAGTCATCTCCGTATTAAAGGAATTAAAACCTAACAATATTAACAACGTAATTAAGATAATACAGAAAGTCTTTGGAACAGATGAGAATCAATTTCCACTCTGCTATGTACAGTTTAAACTAGACACATCCCACTTTCCTTAACTCATTCCATCAGCAAACTTAGTAGTAATAATGACTTGCAGATATAGTCATATATACATATACACACACACACACCCCCAGACAAACACATTTACCATTTTACAGTGAGAAACAAAGAGCTTTAACATGTCCCTGGATGGAGATACCCTTACTGGAAGCTTAGCAAGAATAGCTTCAATACACCAGATCACTGGATGCAAAACTCTTACTTCTTTTGCATGCACTTATGACCTCTTTAAACATCAGAAATTAGTATTCTAAATTCAGTTCTCATTTGTAAGAACTTCTTACAAGAACAATCTTTAGGTAACTCTTAATATTTTGAACACCACATGTTTGACTAATTACTGATTAGGAAATACTGGCCTACATTTTTTCCTTCCTGCTCATGGAATTTGTGCATCCCAGTCAAGCATCTATGGTTACTAATATCTTCTCAGAGAAACTCAGTAAAAGATTCTGTTTTCCTTCAACTACTTTAGGAAAGATATGCAGTAATGGTAAAATACCTGAACAAGATTTCTTGTTATTTGAAACACGTGCTGGTCTTACCGAAACCAAATACCGTGGCTCAGCATCTGTAAATGAAGAGGGCAGCAATTAGTACAGATGTGCTATCTTTGTGAGAAAGGGATTAACCTGCAATTAATAAGTCAAATATTCAGTCAGTGCTTGACACATTATCCCATCTTTGTGATTTCTAGGCATGTTTGCTTTAAGCTTATTGACCAATCATTCAGAAATACTCTAGCATCAAGAAAAACAATACACTCATGCACAAAAGATTAGGCAATTCTTTTTGACTAGGACACCACGAACAGGTGAACATGGCAGGACATACGCTTAACACAAAAATTACATGCAAAGTGAATGGGAATAAAAACCCAGATGAAGAAGAAAAGTTCACAGAATTACAGAATGGTTTGGGTTGGAAAGGACCTTAAGATCATCTAGTTCCAATCCCCCAACCATGGGCAGGGATGCCTCACACGAGACCATGTCGCCCAAGGCTGTGTCCAACCTGGCCTTGAACACAGTCAGAGATGGAGCATTTACCACTTCTTTGAGCAACCTGTTCCAGTGCCTCACCACCCTCACAGTAAAATGAAAAAAAAAAACAAAACTTGTGAAGTACTAAGAAGGCAAAGCCTAAAGAGTACAACCAGAGATATCTACTCTCCTGACAGGAGCTGGAGGAACTTTTCCTATAATATTTTCTGTATTCTGTTTCAGGCTATACACCTTAGATTTCCTGCTGTAAGTAAGCAGTTTCTCAGTAAAGAGCTGCCCTGTTTGTAAAAAGAACAAACAATACTTTAGGAATGCATACACCAATAGACCAATACTAAATCATTCAAGATTTGCATGGTCACAGGAAACACCACAATGTCAGATATGTTTAAGACAGACTCCACATTTATTCTTTGCAACAGTCTTGGTTACTGGCTTGTTTTATAATTACGTTTACATACTTTTTCCTGGGACAACTTATCAGATTAACTAAACTATTAGGTGCTTTGACAGTTTTGAATACTCTTTATGAAAGCAAAATTATTACTAACGTCTAAGAGAAAGGGACTTATATTTGTGTAAAACCCACAATGGGCTGTGACTTTGACTGGAATCTCTGGGTACTGTTACACTAGAAATAATGTTGCATACAACAGGACAGTGACAATTTAAGTGATTTTCTTACTCAACAAATTAATCTCAGAGACAAATTGTATTTTCCAGACTTTCTGAGATTTACATTTCTTTTAATTTTACCCCTATTTATTTTCTCCGAGGAAAAATGAACCTTTACAAAATAATTTTAAAATTAATTAAAATAATTTAAATTATTAAATCTCTCTATCCTAACTCCTGTTCAAATGTGTTTGCGCCACTTCCCATAAGAGGTTCAACTACTTCACTTCAAAAAAGCTAACAGAAATATTTTATTACACAGCGGGGGTGGGCAGGGTGGGGAAATGCCCTTCCAAAGAATTTTTGTCTTTCAATTCAATCTTATGGGAATAGCCTCTTTTGAAGTACACAAGAACTGCAGCCATTCTAAAAGACGCAGAGTCATCACTAGCTGGGTGTAAGCTGTGAACCAGCTTGGAAAATTTCTGGCAATACTAATCTTCATAGGAAATAATGTATGAAGAGCGTTTAGTAAGAAAATGATTATTACATAATTACGGTTAACATTGAAATACCACAAATTCAGATTCTACCCCCAAAAATCATTTCAGCATACATCAGTATAAAACAGAGATACATGATACAGATGCAAGATATAGATCTCTCTCTCATATTTTAAGGATCTAGAATTTCATAAATAAAGGATCCTTACAGAACAATGAAAACTTTAGCAAGTTGAATTTGAAATATATTTGCAAATTGGCTATGAAAATCTTAGTGGTTCCTTGCTGCTTAACGCATTCTTGAAGGGCTGCTACTATAAGACTAACAATAAATCCCCTTGTTTGAACCTGTTACTGTCTAGTCTGCTTTATTAAGGCTGGAATGACAAACGTCATGGATAAGAGCTCTTTCAGCTGGCACACACTTATTGCTTTATAAACCCATTGAAGTAGCAGATCAGAAATAAAGACCAAATAGTGACAACTACTTTAGTCACAAAGTACTACAGGAAAATGCCCAGATTTATCAGAATAGCGCTAGTCTACAAACCCGTGACTAATTCTTAGTGTTAGAATTCCTCAAACATAGAGTTTTTTGACAATTCAGTTGAGAGGTGCCAATACATCACGGGAATTGCTTTTCCAAGTTTAAATATCCGCAGCTGAATAAAGCAATGCCACTTTGGACCAAAGCACAACACTCCTGCAGGCACACAGATCTAACCAAATGATCTTTGAAGCAGAAGGGAATGCTAGTCACACCCTGAGGCACTAGTATTTGTAATGCTATAGTATTTCTCTCTATAGCATTTGATACATACAGTAAACACATGCATGTGCAATCAGTATATATTCTTACACTCTTTCCACCCACTTCTCAAAAATATTAGACAGAAGGATTAGTCATCTTGTTTTAGCTTTTAAACATCAAGGCTACTACAGCTCAATGAACTGTCACCAATTAGATGAAATATTTTTCTGAACTCCTTCAATTTTCAGAATTTTTTTCATCCAGACAAAGACACACACACTACATGTTCACACAGGTATGTCTACAACTTATCACAGAAGAAACATTTCAAAGGCTGCAAAGCTGCAGAGAAGTAAACCAGTATTTTGGTGTCATTATAAAAGAGTTATTAAAAAAAATTTTATTACCCACCTTAACAGCTTCAGGTGACAACCAGAATATAACAAAAATACATGTCACTGACACATCAAACTAATATGGGAGAACTTACTTCCATTTGCAACGAACTAGGCTTTCAAATCATCATTAGCAGGCAACTAACATGCACTGCAAAATGCTAGCAATTTCTGCTTATGTCCAAGCATGCTATTTTAATTAATTTTAATTTAGTTCAGCTAACACAGAAATGCAGTTGAAAGCAAAAACATAAAAATGGACTAATGAAATCAGGATAAATTTTAAAGGAAGATGTTTTCTCCTTCTTTTAGAACTCATAGACCACGAGATTCAGAAATCAAAACAAAGGATTTTTTATCTTCAGGCTGCAATTCCCTAATCTGGGATTGCTAAAGACTTACTACAAGGGTTAAGGGCAAAGGCTGAAGGTGGAGAAAGTGAAGTATCAGAAGTATTGTGGTGTAACAAGCATGGGAAAAGATACAGAAAGAGGACATAAGGGGCTGTTGTGAATGAACCTGTGGCTGGTCAGTATGCTTAGCTAGCTGAAAGTGCAGCTGCTGACCTCCTCCAGATCCTCCAGTCCAGTAGGCTCAACTAACATTAGCAATAAGAATCCAGGTTTTTGGTAAGTTTTAGGAAACAAAATACTTCTGAAGTAATGTTCACATTATTTGGCTTCTTGAAAACCAAGTGGTTAGTACACCTGCACATTCTGGTAATTGATCAGATATAAGAAACAGCAGAGCAAGGTGTTTTAGCTAAGCACCGCTCTAGCACACATCCCTGAAATACACTTTTTAAAATGTTTTCAGGGTGGTACTAGAATTCTTGCATATATATACGTATATGCAAAAATCACCCATCACTTATGGTTGTTATAAAGCAGGATTGCCAATACATTCTTCTCTTACACTGTACAATCTGGTTCAGGTAAAGAAAAGGCAAAAGCATGATCAAACTCTGAACTGGTTTTAGAAACAGAAAAGGAGATGACTTTTGTTCACTCTGTTACCCTATTGCTGTTCATTCTAACAAAATTTTCCTGTCTCCACCCAACTTTTGGGATTCCTCCAACAGCATCAACAAATTCAAGGAGGCTGACTTGCAATCTTCCTAACCAAGCTAGAAAAAAAACTAGCCCAAATTTCTCAAGGAAGTACTCTTTCTTTATGAGTCATGCAGACTGAACAGATTTAGATAAAGGTTTACGTCAAGCTCAGAATTCTGGACGGGTCTATTCACCTCATTTATTACTCCAGCTGAATTTACACTTCGATATGTTTTGACACACTCTGAATACCTTCCACAATCAATAATAATGTTGCTTATTGTCATGTAAAGTCATAAAGTACATTAAGCACAAAACACATCTTGTATCCTGATAAAGGCACGCTTCTTTGAACCAAACTTTGATGCTGCTTCATAATTGTCATTTACCCTTCACTGTGATTCAAATCCATCTATCTAGCAAGGCATGAAACTGTTCAAGAGTTTGGTGCCAGCATGAGCTCATTACAAGTTCAGGAAATCCAAGAGAATCCTTTTCTGTTTGTCCATGCCTTCTGCAGGCAGTTCCCAATTCATGGATAACATTATGCAATTGCTGGCTTGGTTATTATATTAGTTGCAAAAGAAAGGAAAAACAAATATTTTAAGATAAGAATCATTGCAGTGAGGTGCTGAATATTCTAATGGACAAAATGTAGGCAGATGTCACACTTTCTACAAAGCCATATATCTCTGATGGAAATCCTAGAAAAGATCACTTATTAATTTCTTTTAAAATATTAGCCCATATACATGTGTAATTTCATAAATTCATAAAACTGATGACTTCAAGTTTATTGTTAATAGGGTCATAAGAGGTGTGTGACCCAGCAGAAAAACACGACAATGAATTTTATCTTAATGAACAGTGACAGGGGTGGAAATATGGAAATCATGGGCCTTAGATATATCTAATTTTGTGTATATTATGTCATCTATTAAAAAAAAAAAAAAGTTAGGCATTGCTTCATTCCCCATATTCCAGTTCCAACTGGAGTCAGTTACCTCAAACAGAATACTGATTATGCTGCTCCATTAACAAAACTAAGCACGCACAGCTAAATCAAGGAAATGTCTGCAATGCACTTCATTCTGCTATGTAGATCTATGCTGTCTGTTAGAAAGGACAAAGCACATTTTAAAGGATTGATGCATTTTAGGAAAGGAATCATGACTTATATGCAAAGTCTGTATGTTTTCTTACATTGGCCTAACTACTAAACTAATTAATGAAATAATGTTTTTTCTTTCAGTAGGATCTACAGTTGATTGCCTATCTGTACCATTTTCACTTACAAATCTTCATGGAATAGGCAATTTTAACCCTAACAGAGGATCCACTTTTGTCAAGATACAGAGATTCTCCTGAATCTAGTCACTCCCTCGTGAGGTTATAGTCTAAAGCAATGTTCCTTAATCCAGTGTGAAAACATACCTTTTAGTAACAAACAAATGCCCTTAAATCCAATGTGAAAACATACCTTTTAGTAACAAACAAATGCCCTTAAAGATTGGATAAGCCAAAGCATGAGAGGATCAAGGAGTTCTCAGGGTGAATGTGAATATTTTTGTATAAATCTAGTTGATCTGATTGTGGAAAAATGTGTGGAACTCACTGAAGACCTTTTGCAAAGTGACCATTGGCACTTGAATCACTAGAATATCTAAAACATGGAAATTTTAGTGTGAAATTTTAAAAATATATTGGTTTACTATAAAGATATACTAGACCAACTTTATCACATATGAAATGTTCTCAGAGTACACAGATACGTAAGATTTTTCAGCAATACGAATACGGTCTAGGGGTTTTATATCTTTGGAAAGAATCTTGAGAGCATTTCTATTGTCCCTCTACAACAACTTACTTTTCTAACATCCACATGAAATGTGTGCTGATCTGAGTTCTCTGGCTGCCAGAATGAAACCTAACCATTGTTCCTAAAACTACAAACTGTTCTGCAGTTCCTCCAGTTTGTGCCAGCAATTTGGCCCCTGAAACGGTGAGGGGTGCTAGCAATCACCGCTGTCTTCTCTTCACCTCTGCCACCAAAGTCACTCTAAAACAGAGCCAAAAGCAAACTTGTTTCTTAGTTTAGCTCATATTTTGTACACACCTGGCAAGTACAGTTAAAAGCTGCAGTTTAACATGGTGTTTAATACTAATGAAATGGGAAAGATGATGTATCTCTGTTAAGCCAACATGAAGAAACCCTGATCAATAATCCAGTAAAAACAAGAATTAAGAAACCCAAAAGGTTTATATTCTTCTCATTCTCACCCCATAAATCACAACAACAATAGCATGCAAAGCAAATATGCCTTACCAAGTTCTGTTACGTAGTTTTTTCCTTCCGAAGGTAAAGGAATGTACTGATTAGAAAAGAAGCTGCTTCCATAACCCAGGACAAAACCTTCTAGTTTGGTGTTTTGACTTGGTCGAAGATACCTCATGCAAACGGTGTCATCTGTTGCATTGATCTGAACTTTTAGACTCTGCCTTTTCACTGGGGAAGAAGTGGAAAAAAAGAGATCAGAATGCACTATCTTGTAATCATATAATCAGTAACAGAATAGAACAATGTAACAATATGTTTAATTTGCTAGTTGAAAGCAACTGAATAATTGCTAAACATGGATTCTCCTGGAAGCTCAGTGTGTTTAAAAAAAAGAAAACTAATAGTCATGTAAAATTGTCGTTTCCAATACATATATTTTTCCATTAGTTTAATATTATCATTAGCTGTAACATCTTCTACAATTGCAGTAGTAGAGAAGTGCATGAAATAACTGGAAAAAAACCAAACATTTTTCCTTTAAATCTTTAAATGTGAGATTATAGTAAACCTAGCCAGCCATAGAAGCCACAGGGAAAGAAAACTTTCAAACTTTTTTTTTCTTGTTAGTAAGAAACATGGATTTTTAACATTAAGCTAATCACACAGACAAATTAGGGAAGAGGATAAATAGTAACTAGATCCAAATAAAAATGCTACAACTTTTTTTCCCTTTTTTTTTTTTTCCTCCTACATTGGGCTGAAAATGTAATTTTCCAGTTGGAATTACAGCAGGACATCTAACTACATATATACTTTACTCAGAATCACCAAGAAACTTTTTTTAAACATTCACTTTTATGCTTTCGAGTGGACCAGCACATAAAGCAAGAAATGTCTTGTATATCCATCTAGAAAAATGTATCTTAGAACAACATAGAATGACTTCGTAACAGACTAATCAATGTTTTAGGATACAGGAAGGTGTTTTGTCTTGTCTTGGCGGGGTAAGGGAGGATTGGATTTTCTTTCCTAGTACATATAATCTTAATGTTCCCTTGTGTCCTGGTTTTGGCAGTTGTCACTGTTAAGCTTATCATATTTTCAGAACTGTTAAATGCCAATGCTTAAAATAAAAAGTAGTAATGACCCTCCCCCAAACTTATGACACTAGTGCTAGAATTATATGTTTTGGGTTAATATTTCTCTTCTCATTCTCAAAATACAGATTTTTATTCCCAAGAGATTTTCAGGCATCTGTCTAATCAGGTTTTCAGGGTAAAACAGAAATTTGCACAAAATCGTTTAACTTCAGGAGATAAATCCTGAAGAACAACAATGACATGTATGACCTGCCATTACTTAACATGGAAGAATGATGCTGAACTTCCTTGTCTTCCCTTCTGTCCTTCACTCTAAGTCCCTTCTTTCCTGCCCTTCTCTCTTGGTAATTGCAGACCGATATTCAAAATTTCTTTAGATAAGTACATATGCATTGTCTGGTATCACCCCAGCATACCCTCCCTCATTTTCTTTTGGAGAAATTCTAATGACTGGAGTTGCCAAGAGGCTGGAATCCCCAATTTTTGAAAATGATTATTAGTACTGTTGAGCACCTGCAGTTGTCTGCACTCTGAATGTAAAGACCCAAGCCAAACACTTTATGCCTCTTCCCTTTATAGAAAGAAGCATATAAGTAAAACTGATGAAAAACCTGATGTGCTTCCAATAAGATCCTTCTTTTATCTAAAGACTGATCAAGTAAAAGCACTCAGCCAGGAAACAGTCACAGTTTTCCAAAGGCAACTCTGCCAGGTTCCAGAAGACTGCAAGGCTTCTAGAAAACTCAACTCTGACACTTTCAGCAGTACAATACCATCACAGGGAAAGGTGTGGCAGTTGCCTCCTTATCTGGGAGATATCCTCACTTATTTTCAGTTTATGAAGCTGCTATGGGTATGCAACATTGGATATCAAGAAGGTTCCAAATAGCAGAAACCAGGAAGAAAATCCAACAGACTTCAAACCCCTTTAATATACTTCATAAAGATGCCTAGTAAAAAGTTTATTATCCCGTTATTATCCCGTACTGACAGTGAACTAGATTTGTTAAAATGATGTAGTCTGCAAAACTCCAACCTAACTTTGGAGAGCTGAGTATAAATGAAAAGATGGTCTCCTGGTTCCACTGAATATTCATGTCTAAGAACATAGCAAGACTTACAGTATTCAATTCAAATATGATAATTTTATTTCTGTATTAAAACTCAATTTTTTAAAAAACACTTAAATTTAGAAAAAAAAATCAAGAGTTTGTTTTTGTTTTGTTTGGGTTTTTTTAACACAGTTGTTTCTATATATCTCAGTTGTACTTTACATTAATTTGAAGACCTAATTCTAATTCAAGATTGAGTTCACTTGGGTTTGATTCCAATTAGATACTGTGTTTTATTCATAAGTAGCCAATCATAGTGATAAGAAGTCTTGATTTTATTTAAGCCTAAAAACTCTCAATGAAGTTTCTAAAACCAGAAGTGTGATCTAAATGGGATGCCCAAGCCAGCAACAGCTTTGAGGTAGGACACTTTAGACTTTTTCTTTATAGCTAACACATCAAAACCACCAAGATAGCTTTTAAACTCAAAGCCAGTTCCTGCAGAACATAAACAGGGATAACGTATTTTTAAAAATAGAGAATAAGGCAGGACAGAAGAAAAGGAGATTAATTTCAAAGATAAAAAAATAAATCCTTGTCCTCCCCACCCTGTCTTGACATGGCAGCTTTTTTCCTCTAGTTCACTTTTAAGTACAGGATCCTTTCAGTGATGGCCTGAATGGCCAGAAATACTGCAGGTTCCCCACAGTGTTTAGGAAAAAAAAAATATAATCACAGAATCATCTAGGTTGGAAAAGACCTTTAAGATCACGGAGTTCAATCACAAACCTAACACTGCCAAGTCCACCAGTATACCATGTCCTTAAGTGCCTTTTCCTCAGTCGTTGTCAGGTTTCCCCCCACACCCCCCGCTTATACTAAAGGATGGAGATAATCTTTCTTTTCCTGTCCTTGCAATCCAGCTAGAGGGTCTGTTCCATACCGTCCTTCACGTAACTATATTCCACACCTTCTGCACGTAACTATATTCCACACCTTCTGTAAGCTCCGTGCTTACTACTTCCTTCTCTCCACCCAGCAGAAATTCTCCTAGCTGAGAGGACCCAGTCGATCTCAGCAAGAGTGCTCTTCTGGCTTTCCTCTTGAAGGTGCAGCCTGACCCAAAGAGCAGCACAATGCAAGGCAGACAAATAGCCTTCTTCCTATTACTTAGGTGCATATTTTTAAAAGAAAACTGTGCTAAAGCAACACCACAGATGCCACACTTCCTATGACTAAACCACATTCACTTCCATGAGCTGTGAGCATTCCACATTCTCTGAAATTGAGGCATGAATTTTAAATGGTAACACAATACCTACTAGGACTGACCAGTTTCTGGAAGCGTATGGACAGAAGTCGAGCAACCAAAGGCAATACTGACAAGTTTTTCTATCAGATGTCGAAACGGATCTAATTAACAAATTAAAAATTGCACCAAAAAAATCTGTGGAAGTTGGTATGCTACAACTTACATGTGAGATTTTTCTCTTTACTTCCTCTTTCTCCCTACTGATGCATTTTAGTGTACAGCTACTTTATAGATTAAAAAAAAAAAGGAAGAAATAGCAATGGATTCCTTTGGTAGTTCATTAATATTTCTTTTAGTACTACATCACAGCGAGGGTGGTGAGGCACTGGAATAGGTTGCCCAAGGAAGTTGTGAATGCTCCAACCCTGGCAGTGTTCAAGGCCAGATTGGACAGAGCCTTGGGCGACATAGTTTAGTGTGTGGTGTCCCTGCTCATGGCAGGGGGGTTGGAACTAGATCATCTTAAGGTCCTTTCCAACCCTAACTATTCTATGATTCTATACTGATCTTGAATCTTGAACATCTCCTAATTACTTTCTATCTGAAGATCACTCAGCTTATACTAAATTATTTGAGTGGCAATAGTTATGTTCTCTCTCAAGTGAGGTGTGCTCAAGAGAATCATGACCTGTTCTCAAGTTGCCCAAGGTAGGAAAGGCCGCTACTCTGAATCACATACTCTCATCAACCACTAGTGCTGCAACAATGGTTCTCTCCTGAAGTTAGAAGAACCTGAGTTTACTGGGAACCACAGCCATCGAGTGGGAGCACCTGGGTTCCAGAGAGTGAAAGGCTACATAGGAGACAAAACCAAAGAACAATAAGGACAGAAGGAAACCAGCAAGCATAGAAAGTGCTCTCTGTCATGGCAGAACTATCAATGCATGGTAGTGGACTCTTTCTAGGGAATATAAATTGTCTGTGGATTCTCTGTAGGGATTAACATCTCTCCCCAAATCAGGTCAGTGTGCTACTTAGTCATCAATCCAGATCTTCTTCCTGCCAAAAGATCACTTGTAATCCTTGGAGCAGCCAAGAGGAGTACACAGACATAGAGGGGCCTCTGCAGCCAGCTGAGGAGACCTCAACCCTATGTGCTCCACAGACACTGCCAGTCTAGTCAAGAGAGGGCCATGCAAAGGCAGTACAAATGTAAAGGACTTTGCACCAATTAGTTTGGTAAACGAGGACTGCTCTCAGAAACACATTAGCAAAATAGATTTTGCTTGTGTTCTGAACAACTAACAGGGAAAACAGGTATTCCCATTCTGAGTAATATCTCTATCTTGGCCACCACTCAGAGATACATTCATTAAACATGATCGAAAAGGCAAGGGAAGTCACAGGAATTTGACTGCTATGATTTTGTGATAAGAATGCATTTGATTCTGAGAAAATAACTGTTGTATTATCATTTTATAATACCTTTATTCCTCTGTCTCCTTGCTGAAAGAGTTGAATGATAAACTAAACACCCTCAAATTCCAACATAAATAGATTCTGAAAATACCTTACAAGCAGAAAAGAACGCTTGCAAGCACAGAGCGAGGCAAGGGTAAACCTTCCTAACCATATTCGCTTGTATAAGCTTTCAGCATATGTTACTGAAACTCTGGTCTTAAGTATTTGCATTTGTAGCATAATTCTTACACATTGAGGCCATCTCCAAATGCAAGATTCTGGGACCCATACCTCCCTGTGACAACCAATCTTTCCCTTCATGCTTGCCAACAGAAATTCCCCACTGCTCTGCAAGTATTCTTT